TCGTGCCAATTCAGTGTACACTGATGGTTCTAAATCTCCTGACGGTTTCAGGTTTGCAGCATTGTTTCTAGACAGCATAGTGCGAGGGCATTAGACTCGGCTAGGATTTTTGCTTCTGAATTGCATGCAGTTATCAATAGCAATTATTCGTATTGCATCTATGCCTGTGTTGCCATTTGTGGTTATTTCCAATTCCCTTAGTGCATTGCAAACAATAAAAAAATTTGATTCACCTCATCCCTTTGTCCTTCATATAAAACTTTGGTTATACTGCATCTCTAGCAAAAACAAAGATATTGCTTTCTGTTGGGTCGTTAGTCATGTTGACATAGAAGGTAATGAATTGGTGGACACTTCTGCGAGGTCAGCAATACACGACCTCCCAGTTTCATATAAATGTGTTCCATTCACAGACTAATTTGCTGTAATTTTTGACTCCCATCGCAACCGTTGGCAACAACGTTGGTCTGATAATATACATAAATTACATTCTATCAAACTAAGTTCAGATTTCTGGCCATCTTCTTGTCATCGATGCTGAGGTTGGAGACTGTGCTCTCCCGTCTTCGTCTTCGCATCAGACACACTCGTCTTACTCATGGGTATCTCATGGAGAGGCGCCCTGTCCGACTCTGTGAGGCTTGCAGGTTCTAGTTTCGGTTAGCCATATTCTGATGGATTGTCCGGTCTATCATTGGGCACGCACAATTTACCTCTGACATCGTCACCGTCTTACTTTATCCTCCCTCCATGCTGACAGACCCACCTTTGACACAGACTCCCTCTGTTGTTTAACTCTCACTCTGTTGTCCACTTCACTCTTGCTACTTTATAATTCTGCACTATCCCCTGCACTGTATACCCTTGTAGGTTTAGCGCTTCTCTCTGATTATAATAATAATACATACAGGGCAGTAATGGATGTTAGTAGAGGTTCATTACTTGTTCGCTACCCCTGTTTATTCCATCCCATTTCTCTTTGTGTTCACTTGCAATTGACTTATCTTCAGTTCCCCCTTTTATAAGCTCATCTAACACATGGTTTTTCTCTTTTCCCTTGGGAGATTCTGACAGTATCTGTTCTTCCTCAGTGCTGTGTGCAAAAGATGAAATAACTACATTGGCTTCTCACTCCCTTTGTCTTAACCACTTCCGGTCTCATTCTCATGCCATTGAAGTTTACACTGATGATTCTAAATCCTCTGACGGTGTTAGGTTTGCAATAGTGTTTCTGGGCAGTGTTGTACTAGGTTATTTATTAGACTCAGCTAGCATTTTCACAGCTAAACTGTATGTAATTCTCGAAGGAATTATCCGTATTCCGTCCAGGCCTCCCTCAACAATTGTGGTAGTCCTGGTCTCCTTTAGTGCTTTGCAAGCTATCAAAAAATTTAATTCACCTCATCCCTTGAGTCTTCATATACAACTCTGGTTGCGCCATATTTCTAGAAAAAAAAAACTTTTTTGCTGGTCCCTGGTCATGTTGTTGTTCAGGGCAAAGAGCAGGCAGATACTGCTGCATTTTCAGTGGTACATGACATTTCAGTTGCATATAGAGGCATTCCATGCTCATATTATTTTGCTGTAATCTCTAGCCACTTTATAACCGTTGACAACAATGTTGGTCTGTACTGATTCAAAACAAATTACGTTCTGTCATGCCGAGTTTCGGATCCTGGTCTTCTTATCAACGACATCGAGGTTGGGAGACGACGCTTTCTGTCTTCGCATCGGCACACACGTCTCACTCATGGAAAGACGACCAGTTACACTTTGAGCACAGTGTCAGGATCCAGTTTCAGTTTATCATATTCTGTATTTCGGGTGTTATCCGCAAAGCATGACAAGGACCTATGGCTTACATCTCTATCTAAGATATGAGGATGAGGAATAGGATAGGAGCGAGTACTGTGCCTTGTGGAACAGAGCTGTTTACCGTGGCTGCCTGTGACTTTACTCTGTTTACTATTACTCTGTGATCTATTTGTCAGGAAGTTGTAGATCCATCTACCAACTTTTCCTGTTATTAATTTATCATGCATTTTGTGTGCTATTACACCATGGTCACACTTGTCGAAAGCTTTAGCAAAGTCTGTGTATACTACATCTGTATTTTGCTTATCCTCTGCAGCATCCAGGACCTTGTCATAGTGGTCCAGTAGTTGGGACAGGCAGGAGCGACCTGCTCTAAACCCGTGTTGTGCTGGGTTGTGTAATTGATAGGTATCTAGGTGGTTGGCGTTCTTGCTTCTTAGAACCCTCTCAAAGATGTTTAGTGATGTCGGTCTGTAGTTCTTTGCAGTTGCTTTGCTGCCACCTTCGTGGAGAGGGGTTATGTCTGTTGTTTTTAGTGAGTGTGGGATGACCCCTGTGTCCATGCTCCTTCTCCACAGAATGCTGAAGGCACGTGACAGGGGCTTCTTGCAGTTTTTGATGAACACAGAGTTCCACGAGTCTTGGACTGGGGCAGAGTGCATGGGCATGTCATTTATTGCCTTTTCAAAGTCTTGTGGTATTAGGATAATATTAGATATTTTTGAGATGACCAAATTTTGGGTCTCGTTCATTTGGATTGTCGACCCTTAATGTGGGACTTCAGTATCTCACTCATTTCTTGGCTGTCATCTTCCCGAAACTACTCCAGATGGCAAGGGTTACACCAATACATAAAGGTGGTGACCCTACAGACTTAAACAACTATAGGCCAATATCTAACTCACCATTGCTATCCAAAATCTTTGAGAAACTCGTGCACAGGAGACTGTATTCATTTATAACGGCTCAAAACATACTCAACCCCTGCCAATTTGGATTCAGGAAAAATAAAAGCACTAATGATGCAATCATAAAAATGCTAGATCTGCTTTACACAGCATTGGAAAATAAGGAATATCCACTAGGAATTTTTATTGACCTAAGAAAAGCTTTTGACACAGTAGACCACGACATCCTACTCCACAAGCTTGATCATTACGGTATAAGAGGCCATGCGCTTGCTTATTTCAAATCTTACATTACTAATAGGTATCAGTACGTCACCATTAAAGACACAGCATCAGCAACACGGCCACTTGATACTGGAGTTCCGCAGGGAAGTGTCCTTGGTCCCCTGCTCTTCCTCATATACATCAATGACCTTCCAAACCTATCCCAACACCTGAAACCCATTCTCTTTGCTGATGACACGACTTATGTCATCTCTCACCCTAATCTTGCCACCCTCAACACCATTGTGAATGAGGAGCTGATTAAAATATCGACTTGGATGACAGCCAATAAACTTACGCTTAACACTGACAAAACCTACTATATTATGTTTGGTAGCAGAGCAGATGCACAAATTAACATTAAGATTGACAACACCCTAATTACCAGAAATAATGGGGGAAAATTCCTAGGCTTATACCTTGACAACAACCTGAATTTCAGCACCCATATCCAGCATATAACCAAAAAAGTATACAAAACGGTTGGGATCCTCTCCAAGATACGATACTACGTGCCGCAAAATGCCCTTCTCACACTATACCACTCACTTATTTATCCATACCTCACCTATGCTATTTGTGCTTGGGGATCAACTGCAGCAACCCACCTAAAGCCAATAATAACCCAACAAAAAGCTGCAGTAAGAATAATCACTAAATCCCATCCGTGGCAACACCCCCCCCCCACTCTTCATAGACCTAAACTTACTCCCAGTTCAGTACATCCACACTTACTACTGTGCAATCTACATCTACAGGGCCTTAAACTCTAATATCAACCTTGACCTAAAACGCTTTCTTGATAGTTGTGACAGAACCCACAGGCATAACACCAGACACAAACATCTCTACGACATTCCCCGTGTCCGACTAAACCTTTACAAAAATTCAATGTATGTCAAAGGCCCTAAAATCTGGAATACCCTACCTGAGAACTCTAGAACTGCAGACACATTCATCACCTTCAAAACTACCATTAGAAAACATCTTATCTCCCTGATACACCCCATCAACTAACTACACGAATACCACCTGGTGGTTCACACTTACACTCACTCACTCATTTGACCATAAATAGAAATATTAACCTCAATCTTAAAATAATGAATCCTGTGATACTCCAATACTGAAACTATGTACTGTGCCAAAGCAAAAACATTCACATTGCTAAACTCACAAACTAGTATTTAGTCACTTAGCCATAATACCAACTTACCTCATAATTTGTAATATTTTACAATTAAGAATAAAACTAAGTCTGCCCGAAATGCCTAGCCATGCTAAGCGTTCTAGTGGTACACTCTGTAATCACAATTTTACTACATGTAAACCACACAATAACCAAATTTCTGTAAACTCAGCATTGTAATCCTTATAGAGAGTAAACTTTGAATTGAATTGAATTGAATTGAATGTATGTCCCATCTCGCCTAAGCAGGGGCCCAGTACTGGATGTTTTACCCCTTAGATTTGGCATAAGAGAAGAAGTATTTCTTTTTTTCAGTTTTCATCATGGCTTTTAGTTATTCCTGCGATTCTTGTCTGCTGTAAGATTCCTTCAGATTAAGTTCGATATATGCTATTTCAGTGACCAGTGCCTCCCTTCGTATTTCAGATATATTGGCCCCTCTCAGCAGCTCTGTGACTCTTTGCCTTCGTCTGTATAGGGAGTATCTCTCTCCTTCTAGTTTACATCTTCTCTCTTTTTCTTAATGGAATGTGCCTTGAGCAGATCTTAAGAACCACAGAGTTTATTTTTTCTAGGCAAACGCTCGGATCTGTGTTGTTTTGGATATCTTGCCAGCTTGTTTCATTCAGGACATGGTTGACTTGTTCCCATTGTATATTTTTGTTATTAAACTTGAAGTGCAATGAAGATCACTGAAAAATATTTTTCTATTTCAAACTTTACACTAAAAAAATTGTAACATGTACTTATTTTTGTCGAACTTAACACTAAACATATTATTTTCAGACAGACCAAAACCCTACAGTGTGTTTTAAATATTTCAGGCAGCATGATGTTTGTGGGTGCCTTGCTGGGGTCATTGACTGTCAGTGTACCGATGGTGAGGTTGGGCCAGAGAGTGACACTCCTGTTTTCTCTTCCCATATCCCTCGCCAGCTGGATTATCTTGGCTACAGCACCCACAAACTGGGTCGTCCTGCTAGTTCGCTTCTTCCAAGGCATCACGATGAGCTTCATAACAAGTTCCTCCTCGACTTACGTGGCAGAGCTTTCACACAGTACAATAAGAGGGCGACTAATGTCGACTCTTGATCTCTCGCGTCAGATGGGCATTCTTGTGGCATATGCTCTGGGCAGTTCAAACCTGACTTGGCGGAAAGTAGCATTAACATGTGGTTTTGTCAACACTGTAATTCCTTTTGTTTGTCTGCTGTATTTACCTAACTCCCCTCGCTGGCTGGCCACACAAGGCTACACTGACAGAGCTCACAAATCCTTGATCTTCTTTCGGGGACCAAACTATGATGTCCACAAAGAAATGGAAGACATCAGAGATGAGCTTGAGAAAACAACTAATGGCGGTGGTAATATATTAGACCAGTTGCGACAAATTAGAAACCCATTAATATTAAGATATCTTATTATCATGTCTTTAGTTCTTTTTTTCATGCACTTCAGTGGAATAATAGTGGTACCAACATACATTGTAGTCATTATAAATAACGCAGATATCAGTATAAGTTCATATTTGTGCGCAGTTTTAATAGGAATTATTCGGGTCGTAGGAGCGTTCTTTTATGTATGTATAATTGACCGCATCGATCGCAAACCATTATTTGCAATGACTTGCACTATATGTAGCTTATGTATGATTGGTCTTGGTGTATACTTCTTTGATCAAGATCACGACAGACGTTTCCATGATCAAAACTGGCTACCAGTCGTCTGTTTGGCAGTCTACTCGTTTTTCTCTGTTTCCCCAGTTATAGGTTTATTTCGAAGTGAATTATTTCCCAGTTCCGTTCGTTCTACTGTTGTACCAATTTTATACACATTGTTTTTCATTGGAGCATTCACAGCCTTACAGTCGTTCCCTTACATAGTATTAACGTTAGGAAGTTATGGGGCGTTTTGGATTTCTTCTGGATTTAGCGTCTTCCTCGCTGTTCTTGTGGTTGCCACCGTTCCAGAGACTCGAGGAAAAACACTGGAAGAAATAACAGAATTGCAGATAGCAAGGAGTAGAAGAAGTATGATAAAGCAAGTACTTGGTGAAGAGAATGCTGGGAGCAGATGCTCTGTGAAGTGTGAAGTAAGTACTTGAGAGTGGGAGAGAGGGGAGAGGCAAGGAGAGCAGAGGTGAGAAAAGGCAAAAATAGGCAAGGTGAAAAGGTGCGTGTGTGTCTATGTACTCACCTAGTTATACTTACCTAGTTGTGGTTGCAGGAGTTGAGTCACAGCTCTTGGCCCCGCCTCTTCACTGATTGCTACTAGGTCCTCTCTCTCCCTGCTCCATGAGCTTTATCAACCCTCGTCTTAAAACTATGTATGGTTCCTGCCTCCATTGCGTAACTTTCTAGGCTATTTCACGGTCTAACAACTCTATGACTGAAGAAATACTTCCTAACATCCCTTTGACTCACAGGAGTCTTCAACTTTCAATTGTGACCCTTTGTTTCTGTGTCCCATCTCTGGAACTTGCTGTCTTTGTCCACCTTGTTAATTCCTCTTAGTAATTTATATGTCTTTATCATGTCTCCCCTGACCCTCCTGCTCTTCAGTGTCGTCAGGCCGATTTCCTTTAACCCTTTTTCGTAGGGCACTCCCCTTAACTTTGGGACTAGTCTTGTTGCAAACCTTTGCGCATTCTCAAATTTCTTGACGTGCTTGACCAGGTGCTGCATACTCCAATATGGGCCTGACGTATATGGTGTACAGAGTCTTGAACGACTCCTTATTGAGGTATTGGAACGCTATTTTTAGGTTTGCCAGACGCCCGTATGCTGCAGCAGTTATCTGATTGATGTGCACCTCAGGAGATGTGCTCGGTATTATACTCACCCCAAGATCTTTTTCCTTGAGTGAAGTTTGCAGTCTTTGGCCACCTAGACTATAGTGTGTCTGCGGTCTTCTTTTCTCTTTCCCGAACTTCATGACTTTGCATTTGGCAGGGTTAAATTCAAGGAGCCAGTTGCTGGACCAGGCTTGTAGCCTGTCCAGGTCTCTTTGTAGTTCTGCCTGATCCTCGACAGATTTAATTATCCTCATTAACTTCACATCATCTGCAAACAGGGACACTTCTTAGTCTATCACTCCCATTATCATTTACATATACGAAAAACAGCACAGGTCCTAGGACTTACCCCTGTGGAATTCTGCTCCTCACAGACGCCCACTCTGACACCTCGTCATTTACTATGACTCGTTGTTGCCTCCCTGTCAGATATTCTTTGATCCATTGCAGTGCCTTTCCTGTTATGCATGCCTGATCCTCTAGTTTTTGCATTAACCTCTTGTGACGAACTGTGCCGAAGGCCTTCTTGCAGTCCAAGAAAATGCAGCCTATCCACCCCTCTCTCTCGTGTCTTACTTCTGTTACCTTTTCATAAAACTCCAGTAGGTTTGTGACACAGGATTTTCCTTCCCTGAAACCGTGCTGGTTGTCGTTTATAAGCCTGTGTCTTTCTAGGTCCTCCACCACTCTCCTCCTGATGATCTTTTCCATGACTTTACATACTATACACGTCAGTGACACAAGCCTGTAGTTTAATGCCTTGTGTCTGTCTCCTTTCTTAAAAATTGGGACTACATTTGCCATCTTCCACACCTCAGGTAGTTGCCCAGTTTCAGTGTATGTGATGAAGATTTTTATTAGTGGCAGACACAGCATCTTTGCTCCTTCTCTAAGAACCCACAGAGATGTCAAACACAAACAGCAAATATAAAACAGAAACATACGCCGGTAAGCTGTCCTAATATACAAGTACAGTTAGAAATAGAAATACAAATAGCCAGATCTTCACTTTAAGGAGGTTATTAGTAGAATATTCAAGGGGTTACTAGTAGAATTACAGTAAATCAACCATTCAAATCACACTATGAAGCACTGTGTAGTCTGCAGTCAATCAAGCAAACGGGCTTCCACATGGATTACTTGCCATTTATGTGGAAATTGGTGTCATGCCCCTTGTGCAGATATCCAAGAACTATCTACAAGCAGTATTAAATCAGGGAAGTGTTTTTGGGTATGTCAAAATGAGATAAATCTGTGGACTAAAATCACATTGATATTAAAAGAGGATAACATCAAAGCAGCCTTCATAGAAAACCTGGAAGCATTCTATAACAAGGCTTATTCCTCTAAGAAAAAGGAGGAGTAGATGTAAAATAGAAAGAGACAGGCGCTCCCTTTACAGGCGACGGAAAAGAATAACAGAGCGGCTAAAAGAGGTCAATATATCTGAAATGCGTAGGGAGACACTGGTCAGAGAAATAGAAAGCATCGAACTTAAGCTAAAAGAATCCTTTAGGAGTCAGGAATGGCGGGAAGAACTAAAAGCCATAAATGAAATCGAAAGAAACCCAAAGTATTTCTTCTCCTATGCCAAATCAAAATCGAGAACAACGTCCAGTATTGGGCCCCTACTTAAACAAGATGGGTCCTACACAGATGACAGCAAGGAAATGAGTGAGCTACTCAAGTCCCAATATGACTCAGTTTTTAGCAAGCCGCTAACCAGACTGAGAGTCGAAGATCAAAATGAATTTTTTATGAGAGAGCCACAAAATTTGATTAACACAAGCCTATCCGATGTTATCCTGACGCCTAATGACTTCGAAAAGGCGATAAATGACATGCCCATGCACTCTGCCCCAGGGCCAGACTCATGGAACTCTGTGTTCATCAAGAACTGCAAGAAGCCCCAATCACGAGCCTTTTCCATCCTATGGAGAGGGAGCATGGACACGGGGGTCGTCCCTCAGTTACTAAAAACAACAGACATAGCCCCACTCCACAAAGGGGGCAGTAAAGCAATAGCAAAGAACTACAGACCAATAGCACTAACATCCCATATCATAAAAATCTTTGAAAGGGTCCTAAGAAGCAAGATCACCACCCATCAGTTACACAACCCAGGGCAACATGGGTTTAGAACAGGTCGCTTCTGTCTGTCTCAACTATTGGATCACTACGACAAGGTCCTAAATGCACTAGAAGACAAAAAGAATGCAGATGTAATATATACAGACTTTGCAAAAGCCTTCGACAAGTGTGACCATGGCGTAATAGCGCACAAAATGCGTGCTAAAGAAATAACAGGAAAAGTCGGTCGATGGATTTATAATTTCCTCACTAACAGAACACAGAGAGTAGTCGTCAACAGAGTAAAGTCCGAGGCAGCTACGGTGAAAAGCTCTGTTCCACAAGGCACAGTACTAGCTCCCATCTTGTTCCTCATCCTCATATCCGACATAGACAAGGATGTCAGCCACAGCACCGTGTCTTCCTTTGCAGATGACACCCGAATCTGCATGACAGTGTCTTCCATTGCAGACACTGCAAGGCTCCAGGCGGACATCAACCAAATCTTTCAGTGGGCTGCGGAAAACAATATGAAGTTCAACGACGAGAAATTTCAATTACTCAGATATGGTAAACATGAGGAAATTAAATCTTCATCAGAGTACAAAACAAATTCTGGCCACAAAATAGAGCGAAACACCAACGTCAAAGACCTGGGAGTGATTATGTCGGAGGATCTCACCTTCAAGGACCATAACATTGTATCAATCGCATCTGCTAGAAAAATGACAGGATGGATAATGAGAACCTTCAAAACTAGGGAGGCCAAGCCCATGATGACACTCTTCAGGTCACTTGTTCTATCTAGGCTGGAATATTGCTGCACTCTAACAGCACCTTTCAAGGCAGGTGAAATTGCCGACCTAGAAAATGTACAGAGAACTTTCACAGCGCGCATAACGGAGATAAAACACCTCAGTTACTGGGAGCGCTTGAGGTTTCTAAACCTGTATTCCCTGGAACGCAGGAGGGAGAGATACATGATTATATACACCTGGAAAATCCTAGAGGGACTAGTACCGAACTTGCACACGAAAATCACTCACTACGAAAGCAAAAGACTTGGCAGACGATGCACCATCCCCCCAATGAAAAGCAGGGGTGTCACTAGCACGTTAAGAGACCATACAATAAATGTCAGGGGCCCGAGACTGTTCAACTGCCTCCCAGCATACATAAGGGGGATTACCAACAGACCCCTGGCAGTCTTCAAGCTGGCACTGGACAAGCACCTAAAGTCAGTTCCTGATCAGCCGGGCTGTGGCTCGTACGTTGGTTTGCGTGCAGCCAGCAGCAACAGCCTGGTTGATCAGGGGCTGATCCACCAGGAGGCCTGGTCACAGACCGGGCCGCGGGGGCGTTGACCCCCGAAACTCTCTCCAGGTAAACTCCAGGTATAACAGATGGGAAAATAAAAAGTCTGGGCTGGATGGTACCGCCCTTCGTGCTGGTCATGTAGTCAGAAACGGCAAACCTGGAGGTGCTGCCCTGGTAGACCATAAATGTGGGGCTGGAAGTGCTGGAAGTGGTGAAGCTGGAAGTGCTGTTCTGGGAGACCGTAATGGTGAGGCTGGAAGTGCTGTCCAGGTAGACAGTAAATGTACGCATGAGGGAATGCATATAAATGACCTCGAGGGAGACAGGAGCTGTAGTAGGGAAACAAGTGTAGTCAAGGACAAGATAAAACCAATATTACAAACTAGTAATACCACAGGAGATAGCAAACAAGGGGACTCCACTAGCAATAGTGAGGATATATTACCAAAAACAACTGGTGAGACCTCCATTGTTAGTACTAGTGAGGATAGGAATGAGACAGGTAAACATGCACCAACAGGGAAAACCGTCACAAAAACCCAAGGCAAACGGAAACCAAGCCTGCGTACATACTATGCACTTGGTATCTGTAGGCATGGGAAATCTGGAAAAAACAGATGAGACGTGCAACTTTGACCACCCTAGAAAATGCCGTGCCCATATGACAACAGGAAAATGAAAATTCCCTTCCTGTAAGCTTTTTCACCCTGAAATGTGTCCCTCTTCAGTACAAGAAAGACTGTGCTATAACTTAAATTGCCAGGCACATCATCTAAAGGGGACAAAAAGATACAAAACATCCAGACCATGGGAAAACCTGGGTAGCCACAGCCACTCAAGAGGGAGAGGTTTTATAGTGCCAGGAAGGAAAAAAAATTGGCAGGAAATGGCAGAAATCGTACACCAAATCCAGTCATTCCTGGAGTGGAACCACAGTCGATGGCCTCCACTCCAAACCAACAGATACAGATACTAGTGCCGGAAGAAAAGGTCCCCCCAGTACCACCAATACCACCAGTCCGATGACATTCTTCTTTGCAAATATACAGGGTCTAAAGCCAGCAACAAACAACAAAATACCTTTCATCCGTGGACTGCTTGCAGAGGCAAATGCAATGTCCGCGGCTTCCACAGATACCCACATAAAGGATCACTTTGACAACGAAATATGGATCCCAGGTTACAACATACACAGATTCAACAGAGTGAACAGGCCAAAGGGAAGGGGGGTGGCCTGTATATCGCAGAGTTACTTATTTGCACAGAACTGCTTAATGCCTCAAATGATGTAGTGGAAGTTTTAGCAGTAAAGATCGAGAACCAAAACCTAGTAATTGTGGTAGTCTACAAGCCTCCGGATGCAACGTCCCAGCAATTCCAGGAACAGCTGTTAAAAATTGACCACTGTCTGGAAAATCTTCCAGCTCCTGCCCCCAACATCTTGCTTCTTGGGGATTTCAACTTGAGGCACCTAAAATGGAGGAATATAGCAAATAATGTTGTTTCAGTGATAATAACACCAGGAGGCAGCTCTGACGAGAACTCACACACACTCGATCTTTTAAATCTCTGCACAAAATTCAACTTAAACCAGCAAATAATAGAGCCTACTAGACTGGAGAATACACTAGACCTCATCTTCACTAACAATGATGATCTGATACGAAATGTTACCATATCAAAAACAATATACTCAGATCACAACATAATCGAGGTTCAGACATGTATGCGCAGAACCCCAGACTGACGAAATGAGATTAGTCACAACGGAGCCTTCACCAAATTCATCTTCATTAACAAGAACATAAAGTGGGATCAAGTAAACCAAGTCCTAAACGATATAAGGTGGGAAGATAGACTAAGCAACACAGACCCCAACTTATCCCTAGAACAGATTAACTCGGTGGCACTCGATGTATGCTCAAGGCATATTCCTTTAAGAAAAAGGAGGAGTAGATGTAAAATAGAAAGAGACAGGCGCTCCCTTTACAGGCGACGGAAAAGAATAACAGAGCAGCTAAAAGAGGCCAACATATCTGAAATGCGTAGGGAGACACTAAGAGAAATAGCAAACATCGAACTTAAGCTAAAGGGATCTTATAGGAGTCAGGAATCGCGGGAAGAACTGAAAGCCATAAATGAAATCGAAAGAAATCCAAAGTATTTCTTTTTCTAGCAGCGCTGTATAGCCCTTGTGGCTTAGCGCTTCTTTTTGATTATAATAATAATAAAAATTTCTTTTCTTATGCCAAATCAAAGTCGAGAACAATATCCAGTATTGGGCCTCTACTTAAACAAGATGGGTCCTACACAGATGACAGCAAGGAAATGAGTGAGCTACTCAAGTCCCAATATGACTCAGTTTTTAGCAAGCCACTAACCACTGAGAGTCGACGCCAAATGACTTCGAACAGGCGATAAATGACATGCCCATGCACTCTGCCCCAGGGCCAGACTCATGGAACTCCGTGTTCATCAAGAACTGCGAGAAGCCCCTATCACGAGCTTTTACCATCCTATGGAGAGGGAGCATGGACATGGGGGCCGTCCCACAGTTACTAAAAACAACAGACATAGCCCCACTCCACAAAGGGGGCAGTGAAGCAATAGCAAAGAACTACAGACCGATAACACTAACATCAAATATCATAAAAATCTTTGAAAGGGTCCTAAGAAGCAAGATCACCACCCATCTAGATACCCATCAATTACACAACCCAGGGCAACATGGGTTTAGAGCAGGTCGCTCCTGTGTGTCCTAACTACTGGATCACTACGGCAAGGTCCTAGATGCACTAGAAGACAAAAAAAATGCAGATGTAATATATACAGACTTTGCAAAAGCCTTCGACAAGTGTGACCATGGCGTAATAGTGCACAAAATGCGTGCTAAAGGAATAACAGGAAAAGTTGGTAGATGGATCTATAATTTCCTCACAAACAGAGCACAAGGAGTAGTAGTCAACAGAGTAAAGTCTGAGGCGGTTACGGTGAAAAGCTCTGTTCCGCAAGGCACAGTACTCGCTCCC